ATGCTGCACACGGTGAACTCGGCCGCGACGCGCGATTTTAAGCTGGGGGAAACAGACATCTATGAATTCATACTGATTGACACTCTTAATCTAAATAAAGTTTTTCTGATAACAATGTTCGTGGGCGTCTGGGCTAGCTAGTGAAAGTTAGGTCAGGGCTAGTGGTTTTCCTCAGTTACTAGCCCGATGGTCTAGTGAAATAAAAAGTTAATGTTGAACCCTGTATTTGAACGTGTAAGGGTGAGATAACACTCATGCAGAGTAAATGTGTCAGTTTGGTTAGCTTTCCTGCAAAGGTGGTGCTAAATCAAAAAGTGAATATGCGGTAAAAACAAGAAAATCTCAGTGCAGGGCGGTAGGTGCATCGTTAACACCGGCAGCGTTGAACGTGTTAATCGACACACTTTGACATGTGCGAGATTGTGTGGTGTTCCTGTATTGTTAACTGGGATTTTTTTGGCCTTACTAACTTGTAGTTGTAACTCAGTGCTATGTGTGATTATTAAGAGCGAAAAACCTTAAAGCTAGCCCCACTGCACAGGACATCTCCTTTGGCTTAATTGCAACGTTTCTCTAATAGACAAGTTTTTATCGCATATTTGTTTAAAATATTTTGCTAATCGTATTGTAGATCAATCTACTCATAAGCGCTTAATTTTTATTTGCTAAAGCCTATAGATGGTAGTGGCGGTGCAGGTGACTAACGCTTATTTCACACTGCTGTTGTGCGTGAGAGGCTAACCAGTAAAGTGAATAAGGTAGTTGTTGACCCTTACTACGGACATTGTAGGAAGATACGCAGGAGTACGCTGATGCCTGCGCGCTGTGGGATCTGTACCTTGACTTCAAGAAGGACGTGACAGAAGCAGATGATGGGGACCTTGGGCAGGCCTATGAGGTATGAGCGTAGTGAGGGTGAGGGCAGATATATTTGCATACACATGTACGACATCATTTTGCTGGATGCGTGCGTGGTACCAGTGTATGAAGTACAAATACGAGGCAAATTTACGTGTACCTAACTTGCTTAATCATCCTATCTGCCTTAATCAGATAACCACAACTCTATCAGATACTGTACTGCTCTCCCCTCCTCCTACTACTTCACTAACCCTCCCTCGTGACCCTAGTTGTCGTGATGAGGGTAAAAGCCCACGACCATCGACCTGTTACGCGACAGTTTCCGTTCCTACCGCAATCGCGTCACTCACCACCCTCGCCGCTGCTGCAGGAGGAAGGATCGGAGATGACCGACCCCGAGCGTCTCAGCTTCAAGGGCGAGCTGGATGAGACGACGTGCAGCAGCGTAGCGTCGGGCGCGGCCGCGACGGACTTTGCCGGTGGCACATCCCATGGGCAGGAGAAGCAGAAGCTGTCGGTGCAGGAGATTGACCAGCAGCTGGAGGAGCTGTTCTCGGCCGCCTACAACCTGCAGGACAGTGCCGGCCGTGAGGTCAGCATCGTCTTCAGGATCCTGCCATCGCGCAGGGTGAGTGACGCCGCGCCGCGGAGGGAGGTAGGGGGAGAGGAGGAGGTGGGGAGAGGAGGAGGTGGGGGAGAGGAGGAGGTAGGAAGAGGAAGACTTGTGTGAAGAGGAGGGGGAGGAGGGGGGGAGAGGAGGAGGTAGGAAGAGAAAGACGTGTATGGAGGGGAGGAGAAGGAGTTATCGAAGGGAGGAGGAGGAGGTGGCGAGAGGAGGAGGAGGAGGTGGTAAGAGAAGGAGAAGGAGGAGGCATGTGGAGGAGAGGAGGAGGAGGTATGTGAATGGGAAGGAGGTGAGAGGAGAATGGGGTGGTGAGAGGAGAATGAGACGGAGAGAGGGGGAGGAGGTGGCCAGAGGAGGAAGTAGAGAGGAGAAGGCGGTAGCGCGATGCCTGTGATTAGCATAGCAGTGTCCTCGCCCTGATTGACCCATCGTTATCGAATGACATAATGAGGGCAACGTAGGTAACGCATCGACGGCGATTCATGCGCAGGTGTATCCGGAGTACTACGACATCATCGACAACCCGATTGACCTGAAGACGATCGGTCAGCGCGTGCAGGAGGGTCGCTACCGCAGCCTGGAGGAGATCGAGAAGGACCTGCTGCAGATGGTGAAGAACGCGAAGATGTTCAACAAGCCCGGCTCTCAGATCTACAAGGTGAGCAACGGCTCTTACCGTGTGTGTGTTAGTGGGTGGGAGGAGGTGGTGCGTGTGTGTGGGTGGGGGAAGGGGGATATATACGTTTAAGGAATTTTTAAAGAAGTTGGTATTTAAAATATGTGAAATAAAATGTTTCTCAACAACCCTGTCTAAAACCTGCAAAAAAAAACAAGAAAATTGTTCGAAGTCGTGGTTGTAATGAGAAATTTGTCATGTTCGTCAGGATGCGATGGTGATAAAGAAGACAATTGTGAGCAAGAAAGCAGAGCTGCAGGTTAGATCGCACCTGTCCAAGTCGAGCGAACGAATCAGGTACGTCCGCGTTGATTAAGACAGCGCGCTTCCTAGTGTTTTAACCCGCGACGCTCGTGTCAACAGTCCTAGTTACGTAGACGTTAACGTGGCGAAGCATCGCGTTACAACAGCTGCTGCTGCTGCTGCAGGTCACGTCGTCACGGCAACATAAGGGGCATGTCGGCGGTCGCGGCGACGCTGCAGTATCCGGAGGACGAGGAAGATGCTGAGCAGGATGAAGATGAGGACCAATGCGACGACATGGACGACGACGACAACGACGAAGGTGAGGCAAAGGTGGCAAGGCGCGTCTCGCCTTTACGAGGCTACAGGTCTATACGGGGTTTTGTTGCTGGGAATGGGATGTTGTAGTATCTCAAGGAACTTTGGAGCTAAAGTCGTAACAACATTTTTGTAACACAGGCACACGTACGTATACACATACACACACTAGTACGTGTCTACACTCATGATCACACACAGGCACGTGCTCATGTATGCATACATCGAAACTCCTACACGCGTGCAAGCATGCACACACGCATGCATTCATGCATGCACGCGCAACCGCACGAGCAAACGTACATTACAGGAGTGTGTAGTTAGCTGTCCTTTCTGCGTGAGAACTTGATGAATCATGCGTCCGTCTACCTTGACATTCTAGGACGGGATGAGGAGAATGAGCTGCTGCAGCTACAGCTGTACGAGGCAGTGCGTAACTACACGAACATCAACAACGAGATCCTCTCTGAGCCATTCTACAAGCTGCCATCGAAGAGGTGAGAAACGTGGCTTTTTATTACGCATAGTAAAATCACCCGTGCACGCGCGAGTGGTATGTCTAAATGCTGCCGCATGCGTGGCGCTACCGAAAAACTGATATTCACGACTATTATTTTTAAGCTGAACCGAATACATTGCTTAATTTTAAAGAGTTGGCGTAGTCAGATGTTCTTACGTCTGACGAAAGTCGAGATATATATGTATAGGCATATATTCATTTAAACCATAAAGCTATTCGGGCGCCGTGTGTGTGTATATATATATATATGTATATATAATAATAATACATAAATATATATATATATTGTTATTGAGTTGCAGTTAGCTTGTTTGTCGGTGGGTTAATGACTCGTACGTGCGCTGTTTCTGCGTGACTCGTCGGTGGTCGTGTCGCATTACTAATGTTGCTTGTACCCGCGACAGGTTGTATCCTGATTACTACGAAGAGATCAAGCACCCGGAGTGTCTGCACAACATCCACCGCAAGATCAAGGTGAGAGGCAGTGCGTAGCAGCAAGATGGCTTCATTCTCATGCCGTCTTCTTCCTACTCCTTACCTGTATACTATTATATATATGTCGTATATCTAATGATTAAATAATCTATAACAATATATTATAATAATTATAATTATATCGATATATAAAATATATACTATATTAGCATCCTTGCCCTTACCTGTATACTATCATATATGCATTATATATCTAATTATTAAATAATTCACAACAATATATTATAATATTATAATTATATAAATATGTAAAAAATATAATATATTTGCATATCTATCTATTATGCGTCCACGTTAAATTCGTACCAAGTCGTCGAAACGATACGCAATGCTGTATATAAAACCATGTCCAAGCCTTGGCGCAGGCCCTGGGTTTCGATACCCTCGTCGAAAAAACGCCAAACACTCACCGATTCCTGATCGAAAATCGATTAGTATGCGAGTTTGCGATGTGTTGGTAAACCCGATCGGTGTGGTCTCTCTCTCTCTCCTGCAGAAGGGAGCGTTCGGCAGCGTGGAGGAGGTGATGGACGAAATCAACGTGGTGTTTGAGAACGCGAAGCAGTACAACGAGCCGGGCTCGGGCATCTACCGTGTTGCGCTCAAGCTGCAGAAGATGCTGGAGAAGAAGCGGCGAGACGTACTCGGCAAAGACGGAAAGGTACTAGTGGTAGTAGTATTAGCTACCCTTACATAGTCTATACATAGTAGTGAAAAAGATGGGAAGATACTATTAGTTAGCCCTAGACGTGATGCGGCCATGTTGCCGAGGCGCGCCGAGGATTGACACTTTGTGTCTTCCAATCACAGCGTACCCCGCACTTCTCCGTTATAATTTCAAAGGTGGGTACCCATTGAGGTACGGAATCGCCGATCTCAAGAACTAGGGCATTCTGTCTGCTAGGCTAGAACGGTTTCCTACGATAGAGTTTGGCACAAAAACGAAAATAACACGCTGTTTAGCGCACTGCGCTACTTCCTTGTGTTGGCATTTTCGCATCTCCGTAATCAGAATAAGCCCCGCCTTCTTCGTTGATGGGCATGAATGGGCCTCACCGACGTGACCGGTTCCTTTCCCCAGCCTGTTTACTTTTCGTAAATAATGAAATGCCCGGCCGATGCATGTCCCATCGAACAGGAAAATTTTCTGCATTTTCACTCGCTGTCGGAAGTGAACGAGTGCGTCGTTCATTCAACAATTCAATAAAACACACACAACGTTCTGGTTTGGAGCTAATGTTTACATGCCACAGCGCCATCTCTTGGATGTTTTATAAGTAAATATGGGGATTTTCAATAAAATAATGCGTTTTTATATGTATTTACGACGATTTACGTATAGAAACTATATGTTATTTTTACTGATTTCTCCATATCTTTCCTTGGAGTTTTCATCGTCTTTCAATGTCTTTCGGTAGGGTTTCTGCGTGATTATTATTTTGCGCAAGCACTCATTTTGGAAATCCTCCAACATTTTTACTTCTTCCTTAGTTAAGTTAGTCCATCTTTCACTGTTATTTAGGAAGGAAGGTAAAACTGTGCATTCGTATAATTTCACTCTTGCTTCTATAGTATGATTTCCATAATTTTGCGCTTCTGCCCATGATAATATTTCCCTCATCATGAACCTACATTTTCCAGTTCGGACTCTTATCATATCGTTATAACCTCCTATATCATTCATTAAATCCCCTAGGTATGAATATTTGGTGCATTTTTTGATTACTTGGTTGCCTATTAATATCTCCTTCTCCAGTTCTCTATCTTTTCTTTGTATGTGAATTTTATAACCATTGTATTTGTTTTGTTCATATCAAATTCTAATCTTTTTGATTCAGCTTATCTGGAGAATGACTGAGCGATTTTTGTTACTGTTTTATAATCTCCAATTCCTACAATATCATCAATATATAATCATTGTCATCTTCTAAAACTACAGACCATCCGCTGACCGCTGTGGAGACGTGCGCCGGGC